AGAGTGTGTTGTGACTACAATGCAATATTGAGTAGTGTCAACATCTTGTATGCTAATTGGAGAAGTGTCATGTGTGGTAATCCTGACACAAAAGACATCTCATTTTCAGTCCCTTTTAATTGGCTTTTATTTACTAAAGTAGATGTTTGGGACAGAAGCAAAGTTTCTTTACAGCATGTTACTCCATTTATCCTTTACCTTTAAGAATGGGTGGAATAAATATGCTGTCAGCCTCCTGCCCTTCCTCCTCAGATGAATCACTGGAGTTACTTGCTACTGAAGTCAGAAGTTACTGTAACATACTCTTAAGAAATCCCAGTACTTAGGGAGGTTTCAGCTCTCTCTAGATGAACTGAAGATACTCAGAGGCATTCAGCTGTAAAGAACCATGAGTTTTTATTCAGTCTCCATTCAGTTCATAGGGTAGGTGTAAGGAGGGTAAGTGTGTCACATAAAACCCTTAGGAGCGGCGATAGTGTGTTTGTACTTTAAGGAAGGACCATGTCTGGGGAGAGGCTGTAGATTGGGCAGGAACGTGTTTCGACAATGAAGCCTGCAGCTTCCATGGAGAAGGAAGAGGATGCTCCTAAGAGGAGGTAGACATTGCAGGAAGGACCAGAGAGGAGTGTGCTGCATCTCACAGCACAGAGTTTACTGGAACTGATTTTGGAATCCAGGAGTTGACTGTGAAGATGCAACAGGATAGTTATGAGCATTTTTATTTCTGTTTTCTTTGTGATTTTTAGTACTGTTTCATGTTGTTCATGTTCGGTACTGTTATTTTCATAAATTCAGAAATTTGGTCTAGATGCCAACATGCCTGATAGACAGTAAGTTATGCATCAGCCAGCAGTGTACCCTTGTCAAGAAGGTCAATGGAATCCTGGGTTGCATGAAGAAGAGCATGACCAGTAGGTTGAGGGAGGTCATTCTTCCACTCTACTCTGCCCTAGTGAGGCCACATCTGGAATACTGCATCCAGTTCTGGGTTCCACAGTTCAAGAGACATGGGGAACTACTGGGGAGAGTCCAGAGGAGGGTGATGAAGGTGACTGGGGGATTGGAGCATCTCTCTTATGAGGAAAAGCTGAAAGAGCTGGGACTCTAGCCTGGAGATGAGAAGGCTGAGGGGAGACCTTATCAATGTATATAAGTATCTAAAGAGTGGGTGCAGGGAAGGTGTAGACAGGCTCTTCTCAGTAGTTCCCAGTGTCAGAACGAGGGGCAACGGGTAAGAGCTGAAACACAAAGTTCCATTTAAACATAAGAAAAAAACTACTTTACAGTGATAGTGACAAGGCACTGGAACAGGCTGCTCAGGGGGGTTGTGAAGTCTCCATCTCTGGAAATATTCAAAACCTGCCTGGATACAGTCCTGTGTAAAGTGTTCTAGGTTATCCAACTTCAGTGAGAGAGTTGGACTAGATGATATCTAGTCCCTTCCAACTCTTAACAATTCTGTGATTAGGGTGAAGCTTTGATCACTAAACTTTATTGCTTGGAGGCACCTCAATAAATTGTTGACTTAAATTAACTAGAATGGGTTATGTAAATATTCTTATTTAAGAAGCTTTGTTTTTAACAATTTCTTTAAATTCTCTCCAAGCTGTTTTCCTATTCAGGATACTTATTTTCAACACAAGTATTTAGAGCTTTTTGGAGCAGGCATGGGTTAGTACAGGCTTATCTCTCAACTGGAAACTTCTCAGTAGGTAGAATTTTAAATTACTAGTAAATTACAATTACCCTGTATAGATTTTTGGTTCTCCTCGGTAGCATATGAGTTATTCTTAATCTAGGCACACTTTTTCCTCTTTTTTTCCTAATTAAAGGCAATACAGCATCCCAATGATGAGAAGCTGCAAGAGAAGGCATGGGGTGCAGTTGTTCCTCTAGTAGGCAAACTAAAGAAATTCTATGAATTTTCTCAAAGACTAGGTAAGTGGAATGGTGTTAACTTGTAGTTTGTTTGTTGGGGTTTTTGTCTTCTTTAATTAGTACATCTGGCATATTCAGATGTGATCACATCTAGGTCAGCCCTGTTAGTAGATAGAAGCTCATATTGCATAGATTCTCTCCATATACTGGGTTGGATCTGATTTAAGTCTGCGTATGACCTTCTTGCATGTGGAAACAAACTTTCTTCAGTGGATGCCTGAGAGGGGAGAGAGAATGGGAACATGTTTGTCATCTTCTTTCTCTGCCCCTTTAGTAACTCTGGAAAGCACTAACCAGCAGATTGTTTTGAAAAGTAGTAGACTAACCAGGAATACATTCTGTTAATGTCTCTAATACCAAGATTATTAAAAGTGACTGTATAATTGCCCCCTCCCCATTACCAGAAACAATTTAGTCTGTGGAAGTGCCTGATCTTGGTTTATGCAGGTGCAATACTTAAGGTGGCAAATCATGCCTTTTACAAAAACAACTTGAATAATGTTGTGTCTAAGCTGATAAAACCTGTTAGATTTAATCTGTTTTTCCATGAAGTCTCTGTTGTTACCTCACTTTTAGACAGTTACTAGCATAGATCATGGAAAAATAAGCTCAAAAAATGGAAGCTTTTTGCAGGTAAATTCTGCTTTGTAGGAGGTGAGGATTTGATTTTTTTCTCAAGATGATGAGCAGGAAGTTGGTTTATAAGTTTTCCTTAAGCAAACAAAACATTACTTTTTCTGGTAAGTATGTGTCTCGTGAATTCTGTTTTATCCTAAAGGCTGCAGTCTGCTAACACAGGTTATTGAAATATGTTTTACACAGTTGTTGCAGGCAAAGCTTGAGTAAAACTTATCAATGCTGATTTAGATCATTTTGTTACAGGAGTTTGTAAGTGAATATGGTAACATTGGTGGTATAGAAGCAATTAATCAATCCCTGTTATTGTCAACTACCATGTGTTTTTACAGATGTATATTTTAAGTGTCGCATGCAGAATATCAGTCAAGAGAGATAAAAGAAGCAGGTGCAGTTGTGTGTTGCAAAATCCTCCTCTCTGAGGTCCTGATCTCTTCACTCCTGTGACCAGTGACAGGACTCGGGGAAATGGCAGGAAGCTGAATCGGAAGGTTTGGGTTAGATAGCAGTAAAAGGTTTTTCACCCAGAGGGTGGTTAAGCACTGGAACAAGCTTCCCAGGGAAGTGGCCACAGCACCAAGACTGCCTGAGTTCAGGAAGCATTTGGATGATGCTCTCAGGCACATGATGTGATTCGAGGGGTGCCTACACAGGGACAGAAGTTGGACTCGATGATCCTGATGGGTCCCTTCCAACTCAACATATTCTCTGATTCCATGATTTTCATTCAAGAGGCAGGATTGCGAGGTCTGTTGGGAGCCCTGACGAGCACTCCGTACTCACCAACGCAGCACCTGGAGCGAGAGCAGGCTCTTGCTAAGCAGTTTGCAGAAATTCTTCACTTTACACTCCGTTTTGATGAGCTCAAGGTAAGAACTGGCTGTAATTTTGTAAGAAAAGGGCTAGCAAAACGAGATCAAGTCTGTATACTAAAGCAACCTGGGTTGTATTCTTTTGCAGAATAGAGCATGCAGTAAATATTCATGTATCTACTAAGCTTAGCTTGTTCACATGACCTAGTGTTGGGTTAAACTGGAAAGCAGATGAATACTGCATTAGCTTTCGGCAGTTGTTATATATCAGTTCATATTAATCTTGTTTCTTCAGCCAAATTTGGTGTATCTTGGGATAAAGCTGCTGCTGCTGCTTTAGTATGTGCACACCCATAGTCCAGCTATTTTCTCATTAACATTCAAATAACTAAGTTCAAATTATATTCATTTGCTGGTCTGATCCTTGGAGTCAAACTAATAAAGCCCTTTTGGTTTTTTCAACCTACTAATCTCAAACTCTGATTTAGGAGATGACTCCTTTTCTTTTTATTGTTATATCTTTTTCTGAAAAATTTCAGCATTTAACCAGGAAACTTTATATTCTACATATCACTTCCCAACATGTCACGGGCCGTTTTACTTCAGAAGAGTCCGTATTTTCTTGCTCTCAGTATTATATTTTATGAAAACTTGTCCTTCTGTTCTTGAGTGTGTTCCAACTCTTTTGCTTCCATATCTATGTAGATGACAAATCCTGCCATACAGAATGACTTCAGCTACTATAGAAGAACTCTGAGCCGTATGAGGATTAACAATGTCCCAGTAGGTAACCCTTGGATGAAGTGAAACATGATTTTGTACTACCACCTGTCTTTTTCACATACAGAACGACAACGTTATTTTTTCCATCTATTTTATAGGCAGAAGGAGAAAATGAAGTAAATAACGAATTGGCAAACAGAATGTCTTTATTTTACGCTGAAGCAACGCCGATGTTGAAAACTTTAAGTGATGCTACAACAAAGTTTGTGTCAGAGGTAAGAGTATAAACTTATGGCTTGGATAGTGCACTTCAAAAACTCTTCTACCAGGCATAATCTGGCAACTGAAAATCAAACTTGTTATTTGGAGCCTCCAGAAACGTAAGGTATATTATACAGATACTGTAGAAGTTAGAATAAGTTAAGCTAGGCACCTTGTGGATGCATTGCAAAAGGTTAATGCATAGCATGGCAACATTGGTAGTGATAGCTTTCCCAGAGGACATGTATGTATTTTGTCTGTATTTTGATAGTGGTTTAGAGCAGAAACTTCAGAAAATGGAAAGAGAAACATCTTCACTCTCTCTGCTTAAAATAGGGAAGAGAATTGAAATGTAGCTTCCTTTTCTGCTTCCCAAGACTTTTTTGTCTTGCTGTGTAAAGTTCTGATAACTGATGATTTTTGTTTTGCATGCAAAGAATACGTGCTATTTCTTAATAAATAATAATTGTACATTATATGATTAATTAAAAGATTCATTTGGTTTTAAGTGTTTTTTTCCAAAGTTCTGCTTTACATTTGAAACGTCTAAAGAAGTATGGCCTCTTATGTGACATTTCTTTGAGGTGTTTGTCTGCAACAATTTTAAATCTTACTGTTGCAGCAAATTGGGGTATTTGGCATTTCTGCCTTTAAAGAATGGGTTGATGATTCCTTTAAGACTTGACAAAAGCCAGTAGTGTCAGTGATGTATTTCCTTAACTACAAACAAGCACACTAAACTCATGTGGTAGACTTGGTTTCTGAAGTCACTGGTCTTTATGGTAACATTAGGTTACCTGATGTATAGTTGTATTAATGTTTTTGTTTCCTCCATGTTGCAATGCCAGCAGATGACTGACTTGATTTAGGCATTGTAGTGTAACATTTCACAATCATTGAATTGGAAACTGTTTATTTTCTTCTGCAGAATAAAAATTTACCAATAGAAAATACTACAGATTGCCTAAGCACCATGGCCAGTGTGTGCAGGGTCATGCTGGAAACCCCGTGAGTATAAATAGGGCTTCTGTTGTATATGATTAATTTCTATTTATGATGTGACTTGTGATGCACAAGGTGAAATTGGGGTAATCAGGTGTTTTCCTTTTACCAACTTAGTTGTTTACCTTAACAGGAAATTTATCTTGTCTCATTTTGCTTGCCATGTAAATCATGTGGTCTTCTTCTCTGAACATATTAATATTTAAAAACAGAATGGCTATGAAAGCTAGAGAACCTCTTGGCACTCTTTATAAATGGTTTTCTCATGTATAATTCATGAAAATATACTATTTGAACATGATTGCCTAGGGCTTCCCAAAAGAAGGGCTATGGGCAATGATTTGGATAGTGCCTCCTTGGAAGCTGGTGTGGCTGATGGCTGTAACAAAATTGCAGCTCCCCTGTCTGGGGAATTGTGAGATGACTTTTAGTCATGAAGAGAGTCTATTGTCTGCAGTAAATTTGAGAGGCACTGGGAGTATGAACAAAGAGTCAAACTGAACTTTAGTTTTTTATCTGTTTCTTCTGAGTTCTAAATAGGTTTCTGTTGCTAAAATTAATCAGGCATAAATTATGTTTGTCTTAAGGAAGTTTCTGTCCAAATACCACATTTGTTTTGGAGCACTTTTAAGAGCTCCAGATTTTTGTGTTCTTACCCTGCTTAGGAATGCTCTGTCCCATTCAAGAAAGTATTTAGGCATTTTCATTAAGCTTCCTTTTTTTTGCCTAATTTTTTTCCTGAGTCAAGTTTGGGTTGTGTGCATATTCGAGGGTGTGGAGAACACATTGAAAGTAGAGTTATTAATCACTTTTTTTCCTGAAAAAAAACCCCACAACACCAAACCACCATCCAACCTGAAATGGTGTAGCAGCAGGGCACAATTTTAGGTTTGAGATTCTTTGTTGGCAACTCCTTCCAAGCACTGGTCTAACTTATGGGTAGGTTATTGAAAAGAAGAAAAACTCTCAAATATCTGTGGGGTTAGTGGGGTTTTGGGCTTTTGTTTGGTCTTGGTGGTTGCTGTGGTGTTTTTCCCCCTGAACTTTTATAGTAGGATTTTTCTCTTTAATCCTGTTTTAGGTAGGCACTATCATCTTGTGTTTGATAGATAATCTGTGTTTTTAAATTACAGTGAATACAGAAGCAGGTTTACAAATGAGGAAACGGTATCATTCTGTCTGAGGGTAATGGTGGGTGTCATCATACTCTACGACCACGTGCATCCGGTGGGCGCTTTTGCCAAGACTTCCAAAATTGATGTAAGTTTATTGATACTAAATAATCTTTTGAGTATTTAAATGATGTGTAGGCTCCTTTTCTGTCTTCCAGGTTCTAAAAGCAGATGTACATTTTGGATTGATGGTAAATGGTCAGTGGTAGCTGTTAGCAAACTATATATGTAAATAGTGAGAAATGCAAATTAGGCCTTCAGACACATAAATGGTCATTGTTAGGTCATAAAGAGTCTTGGGATTCAGGTAGTGTCTTGAAGTACTTACAAACAGTGGTTGTTGTGAAAGATACAAATCAGAGTGACTGGAAACAGTATCTAGCTTGTTCCTCACTATGGTAAGAAACAAGGTTCACCATCCACCAGTCTTCAAGTCATTAACTTTCTCCTGTTGTTGGGTAGGAAGCTATGGAGTACGGGCTGTTCCTGTATGCTGCTTCATGGTTGTTTCAGATGGACTAGTATCCCGTTGTATTAGTTGCAGAGTTTGGTGTTATTTCACTGGTTGAATGCAATCATTCTTAATGAATTAATGATAAAGATTTTTGTTAACTGTTCCTTTTTAAAGTCAATAAAGCAGACATCAAAGTTACTGGCTGAAGATGTGCTGATGTTTAGGTGTCTGGGCCATTTCAGTCATAGCTTTCAGTATTACATTTTCCTTAATTCCTTTATAATATCAAGGAGATGTCTTTACACTGCTTCAATTTTTAAATAATTACTCTTTTCTCTCTGAGAAACTGAATATAAAGCAGAACTGTAAATTTGGGAGGTATTAGAATGAAAAACTGTATGTTTTTTTCACTCCTAGATGAAAGGATGCATCAAAGTTCTTAAAGACCAGCCTCCTAACAGTGTAGAAGGCCTTCTAAATGCTCTCAGGTACTCTTATTCTTTTATTTGAAATATTTTTATTTGAATTTTCATAAATTGTCCAAAGCATTTCCTTCAGCAGCAAGGTGTTCAGTCAGTGTTATGGGTGAAAGGTGATTGTGGTTATTGCAGACTGCTTTTCAAATTTGTCTTGAGACAGGGATGCATTGAGGGGCTGCTGTGTTTTAAAAGCTAAGTTATAAACTTGGAGTTCTAAGATCACTGTTGGCATACTTTAACTGCATGTAACTTAAGAAATAGTCTGTAGAGGTGTGACAGAGTAGACACTGCACCTGAAGTTAAAACTGATGACAAAGTATAATCATAATTAGTTGTTGACTGTGATCACAATTACTGACTGAACGTACCAGACAAGAAAATGAGCAGCTGCAGCATGTGCACTGTGACTTGTAGCAGATTTACCAAAGAATTGGCTGGGTTAGTTTGCATTTGCCATACAGAATCATGGAATGATAAAATCAGAGGGATTGGAAGGGCCCTCTGAAGTTTGAGTCCAGCCCCCGCTGCTGCAGGGCAAATCACACAGGAATGTGTCCAGAGCCATCTAGAAAGTCTCCAGAGAAGACTCCACATGTCTCTGGGCAGCCTGTTCCAGTGCTCTGTCACCTTTACAGTAAAGAAGTTATTCTCCATGTTGAGGTGGAACTTCCTGTGTTGTAACTTGGTGCCATTTCCCCTCGTGCTATCACAGGGCACCACTGAAAGAGACTGGCCCATTCTTGACATCCATCCTTCAGATATTTATAGACATTAATAAGATCCTCTCTGTCTTCTCTTCTCAAGACTAAACAGCCCCAGGTCTCTCAGATGTTCTACTCCCTTAATCATCCTTGTAGCCCTCTCTTTGGCTCTTTCCAGTGTATCCCTGTGCCTCTTGAACTGGGGAGCCCAGAACTGCACACAGTTCTCCAGGTGTGGTCTTACTAGGGCAGAGTAGAGGGGGAGGAGAATTTCAGCTGTGTGTGCTTTGACCATTGCTTTAATGATTTTTGTTAGCAGTAGAACATAAACATAAAAATCACATAAAACTACTCTTCACATGTCATTTCAGACCCATAGGGCAGATAGGTTTTTTTGCTATGTGAAGAATTTAGAAAATGTTCCTCTTTCAATAAGTATTTATAGGGAGATACTTAAGGCAAGAGTATCAGAATTTTTTTGCAGTAGTATACATGAGACAAGAAGTTGCAACATTAATTGGAGAGGTAAAGAAAAATTAATAATACTGTATAAAAACTTAAAAACTGCTCATTTGGATGATAAAGCTGTGTCTGTAGTCAGTAATGTGAATTCATGAAAGGCAGGTTCTGCTTGACCAACTTGATCTCCTATAACCAGGTGACCCACCTAGTGAATGAGGGGAAGACTGTGGATGTTGGCTACCTGGACTTCAGTAAGGCCTTTGACACACTAGTGGCCTATGGCATAGACAGGTGGACTCTGGTGGACTAAAAACTGACTGGATGGCTGGGCCCAGAGTGTTGTGATAAACAGAGTTAAATCCAGATGGTGGCTGGTCACAAGTGGTGTCCCCCAGGCCTTGGTACTGGGGCCAGTTCTGTTTAATATTTTTATCAATAATTTGCATGAGGGGATCAAGTTCACACTAAATTGAGCAGGAGGGTAGGAAGGCACTGCAGAGAGATTTGGACAGGTTAGGTCGATGGGCTGCGGTCAATAGTTTGAGGTTTAATGAGACCAAGTGCTGGGTCCTGTGCTTTGGTCACACTAACCCCAAGCAACACTATAGGTTTGGGGTAGAGTGACTGGAAAGCAGCCCAGTGGAAAAAGGTCTAGGAGATCTCAGGGGAGATCTTACTGCTCTCTGCAACTACCTGAAACGGGGTTGTAGAGAAGCCGGTGTTGGTCTCTTCTCCCAAGTAACTAGTGATAAAATGAGAGGAAATGGGTTTAAGTTGTGCCAGGGGAGGTTTAGGTTGGATATTAGGAAAAATTTCTTTACTGAAAGAGTGGTGAGGCATTGGAACAGGCTGCCCAGGAAGGTGGTGGAATCGCCATCTCTGGTGGTGTTCAAGAAATATTTAGATAGTGGTTGTGGTAGTTGGATTAAGGCTGGACTCAATGATCTTAAAGTTTTCTTCCAACCTTAATGATTCTATGATTCTTTGTTCTTCATGTAGGTGTCCAGTATCAGAGGAGTGGCAAGAAGAGCCAAAATGTGATAGGCAGATGAAAGCTTCATTCTTGTCCTTACTTGAAAAAGTATCATATTGCTTTGGTAACAGTTAGCTGTAATTAGGTATTCATGCTCTCACTTTGAAATGTGGAAGCTTTAGTTTTTCTTGCCTGAAAGTGGGCAGTTGTACTTTTTCTTATGTGTAGTGAAACTGCTTTAATTTCATTTGCCCTCTCTTTGCTAAGATGTGGTAAGAAGTGAAATAATGTGATATTATAAGTGGTTTCACTTGCAGTTTTTTCAGATTATTAGCTAAAGAAAAAAAAATGTGCTTTGTTTGAGACTTCATGTGAGTATTGCCATGTCTACATCATTTTGTTACTCATCTCTCAACCTCTTAAAGACATGATCAGTCTTTTAAGACCATTAAAAACACAAGTTTCCAGAGGGAAAATTCTAGATTAACATTTATTTTCTGACTGGATTGTGGTGCTTGCAGCTGCAAATGAACACCAATCTGCAGTGTTATCTGATTTACCCTCATCATGGTTGATGCTGTTGAAGTACATGGAAAGTGTAGTTCAGGTTTTCAAGCTATTGTGCCTTATTTTGTGGTTATTTTGCAAATTCAGTCTATATTGTCAGGCTGAGCTTTCACCACACCAACCCTTTTCATGCCTACATGCTTGAACAGTCCTGGTTTCATACATTTGATTACTCACTGGGGTAGGATATTTAGATCTTTTCAAAATCACATTTGTAATTGTTAGGAAGGGGTGCAGAGGTAAGCTGCTGTGAGCATGTGTGGTGAAAGCAGATTCAAGAAGATACCATGAAAAATTAAGTCATAGAATTGTAGAATGATAGAATGGTTAAGTTTGGAAAGGACCTTAAAGATCATCAGGTTCTAGCCTCCCTGCTATGAGCAGGGACACCTCACACTGGACCAGGCTGCACAAAGTCTCATCCAACCTGGCCTTGAACACCTCCAGAGAGAGGACTTCCACAGCCTCCCTGGGTAATTTTAAGTCTTTGATTCTGGAGGAGTGTTAGAAATATCCTGTTTTTTCAAAGACAGATGGTGTGGCTTAAAACCAAATGAAAGGTGGTGTGGATTTTGGAGGGAGATCAGCTGTTTATAATTTGAAATTCAGTGTTTTAATCATCTTCAGTGTTTTCACAAGGGCAGAATACCAGGTGTGATAACTTCTAAGATTTTAGAAAACCTTAGGCCTCCTGTTTGTAGGAAATATAAATTATCAAAAAGTGCTGAAACCTGTATGGATACTACTTTCCAAAACAAAAAATCATTGTATATTTTTCAAGTGAGCAACTAAATATCACTGCAAATGTGGATAACAATGAAAGTGCTATTTTAACATGTTCAGTTTAAATTACAGAATAAGTTTTTACTTGCTCTTAGGTTACAGTTAGGGAAGGAAGATCAAGGAAATTATTCATACAAAGAAGACAGCATTGAGCATATACAGTGCTCTTCAAATAAAGGATGATTTAATTTGTTTGTAGTGACTTAAAATGTGCTGATGTCCTAGAGAATTTTGAAGGGTGAAAGAGCTGGAATTAGCATGTGTGTACTCTAAGCAGCACAGTTACTTAACTAAACAGGAAATTAGGCTGAAAAGTGATCAAATCCATTTTTATTGAGGGATCTTTGAAAGGTTTGGTCACTGGAAGTTTTGAAGAAAAGTTTTCTGAAGCTGTGTTTTATTTGGACATGATTGCTATAGACAGAGACCTCAGAGTTAGTCTTACTGATAATTACCTTTCACAAGTGGTAACATGAGTTCACTCTGGAATGTTCTATGAGCAAAAAACCTGACATCTAGCTGAGACTTATTTTTAACTCCCCTTGGTGCAAGACTGTTTCTTGGGTTATAATTCTGATTGATAATGACATTTTCTGATCCCAATGCCTGATTTGTGTACTTGATTACAGTAGAGTGGGTGATGGTGGCTGAGGGGCCACTGGTACAGTGAGGTTGAGCCATAAACGAAGATGTTCCGTATTTGTTAAGCCGAAATAAAATAGCAGCTATGCTCTTTTCAACTCGATTTTTATTTCTGTGTTTAGGTACACAACAAAGCATTTGAATGATGAGACTACCTCCAAGCAAATTAAATCTATGTTGCAATAACAGTTACCTGGAATTCGCACCTGCTGTAGACAGACAGTATTCTGCAATGACTGAGATGCACAGATTTTTTTTTTAGTGATTGCAACTACTATCTCGTTCATTCTTGCTTTTTATTTTTTCTCTTCCTGTTTACCCCCCCTTTTTTTTTTTTTATCACTTCCTTGTTCTTAAGTAAGCTCAGACTTCTTTTCTGTGCCAAATCAATGAAAATTATCAATTCTGGAAAGTATTTGTACTTTTCAGAATAGCCATCCTAAGTGGCAGCTAATTATGCGTTGCATTTGGATTTCTCTGTACTGGGGAAAGATTTGTGACTTGAACTAAATATTTTTAAACTTGTGGTTTTTTCTTTTTTTGAAAAACTAATATTTAATATTGCTTCTTCTGCATGGCAAGACTGCCTACTTCTGCTATTTAAAAATCCCCTGATGACTTAATTTTCTATTGCAGCTTATTTTCATGTGCAACCATGAGGAAACTAAAAGCAGATTTGTTTAAATTAACTGTGTTTGTACAAAATGGTACCCAACACAAAGGTTTTTTTAAATGAGTAAAAAATGTTTTGTTTAAAAGTTACGTTTGCATTTTGACTCATTTTTGTAAGGATGTATGTTGTATGTTTAACCTTTAATAACTAACGTTAAACTGTGGTGTGTGCGTAGCAAAATTACGTATGCATGTTCATGTCAAATGATTGGCTGTGGATAAGATAATAAAATCAGCTTTCATTTTTCTAAGTGTGGTTTGATTTACCAGTATTTTGAGTGAGATGTCTTCGTGCTCTTTGGATTTTTACAAAAAAATAAATTTATAAATTTTATATAGTGAAAACTCTGCTGTTTCATTCCCGGTAACCGCTGGCCTAATCCACTTATTGAAGCCTGTTGTTTTTCAAGGTTCTTGCTCCCCACTCTGTGCTACTTCCCTGACCACAGAAGTATCATTTGTGCAGAGTTTGGGGAGAAGAAGTTTGTCCAATCCCTGTAGATCTTGGTGGATGCTTCTGAAGAACGTGCATCTTGGCTACCAGTGTTGGAACCTCAGGAGTCTTCAGAAGTGACATTACAGATCAGGCTGCTAGTTTGGCTCCTTCAGTAGCGGGGATGGGGAGCAGAATTTCCCTTGCCCTGTACTGGTGTGCACTCCTGTGGATTTTGGTGTTTTTGAACTGCATGTAAAATCTCAACAGTCTCAGTGTACTCAATATTTCCTGTTTGGCCAGCCTTTAATTGCAACAAGTGTTAAACTTTGATAGATTGGAGAAGGAAATTAAACTATTTTTGGAGGGAAAGAATTGAAGGGGAAAACAAGACATGAGAATGACTTGGGAATATCGCTGGGTGGGAAATGGGCGAGCACTGCATGTGGTGGTGCTGTTGTGATGATGCCTAAAATCAGATGTCAAGATTCTGGAAAGGAGAACTGTAACTTTGCATGGGACCATAGCTCAGATTATTCCATAGCAGTGTGACTGTGCTGGATTTCCTGTGGACACCTCTTCTGGACCATCAGGAAAGATTGTCCTTTTTATATTTCATTTATTTTTCAAACTAGGAAATCAGCAACATTTTAAATCATTACACTTGAGGAAGAGTTTGAAGGAGGTACAAGTAGATATTGCTGGTACATCTACATTCTTCTTCTTTCGACAGGGTAATACTTTTTTTTCTTTCCTGCCAAAATTTCTTAGTCAAGGGTCTTCCTACAGAGCAAGTAAACCATGTACTGTGCTGGCTGCAGGAATAAAATATTCTTGCTTTGACATGATACTGCTCTCCAGTGCTTTTGGCACCATCACTGTTGAATCCAGCTGAGCAAAGACAAGAGCTGATTTAGTTGGGGTTGTTTTTTTTAAAGAAAAAAAAATACATTTTTCCCAAAATTGCATGAATGTTGCAAACTGCATTGAACCAACCATTCTGCTTGTGTTTGAAAGGGTGTCTGTCCTTGTTAGTCAATTACCTCTAGTAATCCAGTCTTGTTACAGTGAATACAGTTATTGAGTAATAACCATAGGAAGGGCAAAGCATACTCCTGCTCAGTGTTATTTTTGGAAGTAAAGCTTTCTAAAGGAAACCCAGCTGACAGAGGATAGATTTTAAGCACAACTTGGTATATGACAGTTTTCCTTTCCAATCTTGTTAGAAAACGCTTGAAACATTAAATCCAACCTCAATGCTGTTATGGAAGAAATGTCCATATAGTAGATTTCTTCTTTGTCTGCCTCAATGATTACTGACTAAGACAACACAGGATTTCTTCAGTGGGCTATTTTGGACAGCTCTTCCTTTCTGCTCTCCTGCCAATGTCTTTGCTTTTAAACATCGTTGTTCTTGTGGTCTGAGAATAATTGGAGCTTTCCTTTTTTCTTCTGGTGTTGGTGTTCCACGGTTTCTCTGTGTGCGCAGCTGGGGAAGGGGATTTGAGCTGGCATGCCTGGGAGTTGGCTGGCACACAGCTCTGCTGGCTTCCAAAGAGAAGTAAACAGGCCTTCCAGTGCATCAAGCATCAGCTGTTTGTGTTTTTGAACTGGAACTGCTGTGTGCTCGCTGCTCAAGCTTTGGTGCTTCCTTGCAAAACCACTCTTTAATCTTCTTTCTGCTTTAATTCTTCTGTTACCTGTGCTAATGGTGAGGAGTGGCAGGCTCAGCACTAAGTATGGGCCACTAGACAGATTTTATGAAAGTTTTTTTGTGGAAATTGCTCACTTTGGATGGCACCATCCTGATGTATGTGATAGCCTAGACTCTTGGGGTGTTGGGCTGGGTGGCACTCAATGGTTTAATTCAATGCTCTGCTCAGAACCAATCTCCTTCTGCTGTGCACTGGAGTAACCACCCTGTTGCTTTGCTGCATCTCTGAGTGTAAACACTATTGCTGCTTTCTCATGGGCCTCAAATTCTGAGCACAGGTGGGTCTCTGGAGGAAATGGGTCCACACTGGCTGGTGTGGTGCTGCACATCACCATTCATAGACAGTAAATTCAGTCCTGATCACAGGGCACATAGGGCTTGTGCAGGTGGCACACATGGGTTTTTCTGCAGTCTGTTACTACCAGCCTGCTCATATGATACTGACTTGGTTTGTAACATTCCACATAAAAAGTACACAAGTTATGGAAATGATTCTCCTATAAAAATCACCTTTCCTGTCTGCATCTTCTGCTTATAAACTACATCAGGATTTTGCTTTGCCAGGAATGCTGTCTATTGCCTAATAGTTTTGGTACAATTGGAGCAGATCGGGGAGGCAGACCCTGAAATGGCTTGTTACAGGTGGAGTTGCAGTGTCCCCCGGTTCTTCTGGATGCACTGTGCTCTGGCTGATCGTTCCTGGCTCACAAAGCCAACACCAGTGGGTCTTCTGCTGCAGAGATGCGGTGACTTCAGGTTCTTGCTTCACTAGAAGGATGCTCATACTCCTTCAGGTTTTTTAAACTTAGTGTTTACTGTTCTGTCCCTGAAGTTACTTACACCTGTGAAATAAATTTAAATAATTAACAAGGGGTAGTTCATGCAGTTGCTGTGAGTTTAGAGTTAGGTGTAGCATTTCAAAAGTGGATCTGTGTGGAAAGTCACTGTGATGTTTACTGGCCACTGCAGACACAGATACTGACAAGTCCTCCTTGAGGCAGGAGATACCCTTGAGGATGCCTTTCCTGACTCGGGACTGTATTACTTGATTCTCAAAATTTTGAGAAATGCCTCTTTGTGAAGCAGCAGCTTTTATCAAAATAGAGAATGAGCTCTGAATTATCAGGCTCTCTGCTCTTGCTCTTTTGTTTTGGTCTTTCTACTGGCCTAAGCATTTTTTTCACTCCTTTTCCCAAATCCAGTGCAATGTCTGCTGAACAATAGTAGCAGCTCTTCATCTGGTAACAGTGAAGCAAGTACTAAAGCAATCTCAGTATAAAATTCATGTTCTAAATTTGCATATGAATTTTGTAATTAATTACTATTACATGGGATACTTAAAAACTGGATAATTTCATCCAACTAGATGTCCTGGATGTGGGGCAGCACTTTGCTTCACCCCACTTCCGTGCTAAGGATCCTTTCAGGTCTGCCTCATCCTCCTGTTTGCCTACCAGGATGATACAAGGGTGCCTGAATATACTCATTGCTTCTGTTGAATTTAGGACACAAGGAGGGCCATATCTGGAGAGAAAATCTAGCTAAGTACAGTCCGTGCCTCGAATCTGAGCAATGTTCTGACCCCTTTTTTGTCGTAGCTGTGGTGATGTGAGGTGGGTGTTTGTGGCATTTTATGGGGCACAGGTGAAGTCATCTAGTTACTGCAAGGATGTTACGAGAGTTCTGTGTGCTGCAGTGAGTAGGAAGGATTGAGGACAGGTTCTAGGACAGCTCCTGGGACCTCAATTTGTGCAACAGGAGTTGGAGAAGTTCAGGTGTATTTGTCCTTTCTCCCAGAGCAGTCTGCTAGCCCCTGCAGGCTCCTGCCCTGGGCACCTACATTTTCTGCTCACGCTTGAACCTTATCCAGAAGCCAACATGTTGCTGCAGGGGTCAGAGGTGTCTGGTGAGGTGAGGAGTTAAAAGCAGCTGGTGAATATGAGGATGAAGTGGGGCATTGAAGAGCTGTGCTCTCTCCTAGTTTCTGCCATAGGGTTTGTCATTAGTGATGGCAAATCCCTTTTGATCCCCAGGTCTCTGGAGGTGCCTCTCTGAATGCTCTCCCCTTCCTGACCATCCAATGTGGATTGCTGGTGTCCCTATCTCTGAAAGCCTGGAGAGCTGCTGCAGGGGACATCTGTGATATGTCCCTTATGGATTTGCTGTTAACTATGTACTCCATGAACTGACTGAGGCAAACAAGAGGTGGCCTCTATAGTTATAGGAGTCTTAAGACATCCACAAGTCAGAGCTGTCCTGGCGATACCATGTATCTGGCCTGGTCCGTTGCCCAGCTTTTTCTTGCATGAGGGTGAGGATGAAAACAAACTGGCTTCCCATCTTCCCACATTGCATGATTTGACATGTGCCCATTGTGTCAAAGTGATACTTGAACATTGGCCAAATGACAAACCAGCACCAGGCTTGGGAAAGAAGTGTGTGCACACATCCAGCTCATCCCATGTGGCTGGAAACACATCCGTCATGTGAAGGGGCACATGAGACACACATCCAATTGCAGGGTGGAGGGAAATGTTGCAGTGTACGATGATGTCCCCATAGCCAACTATGTGACCCCTGGTCAGTATTGGTGTAATTAAAAGCAGTGCTGGGAGAGTGTTTGCTGAAAGACTTGAGATTAAGTAATGTGGAAGTCTTAACTGTGCATTCAGCACTGTGCACCTTTGATTTGGCTTGTAGTCCCTGAGAGCAAAATGCAGTTTTGAGACCCAGGGCAGAGGAGCTTTCTGTGTTTCTCAGCTGATTGACTGTGCTCTGGCTAGGAGAGCAATGATCTAATGCCATGGGAAGGAAAATTGGCTGATGTCACGAGGAATTTCCTAACATATCTCTTACGCTAACATCAACATCTTGCAAGAGAAGTGGAAGAGAGTGGCTCCTTGGAGACATTTAAGCTAGACTGAATATAGGGTGAGAGGTGTCTGTTAGGAAATGCTGCTGCACTGAAATGGGCTGGGCTGACCAACTCCTTTCCATCTGAAATTCAAGTTTGTGCTGGGAGTTACACTTATGGAATGTTCCTGCTAGGCAGTTTGAGGTGTCAGAATTCAGAAGCTGGAGGCGTTGGACCAAACCATCATCTGC